GGGGGGGATTAGGTTAGGGGTTTCTGACCTGGACGTTTAATTCAAACAAACAAACTCTCTTCGATATATTTCATGATTATTAATTGTGTCAACAGAGTGCCTTTTAAAAATCAATTTATGTTAAATGTGAAAGAAACAAAACTCTTTTTTTCGAACCCGAAACACAGAATAAGCAAAAACAAACCAACAACTAAATAATGGTTTTAATATTAATGAATCTATAGGCCTTTCACACTATGGTTGTTATGGCAACGGAAAGGAAAGAAAGCTTGAAAGTAAAGATTAGTGGGATTATTAACTAGGAACCTTTGCTGGAGTTTGAGAGCTTATAATGCCAAAATTCGGGATTCAATTCACGAGAGGCTTAAAAAAGAAACTTTTTTTTTTTAAATCACCGATTGCCAGTTTTTACTAATCCATGATTTTAGTTATATTTTTTTCTAAGTCTAATTAAATTACCAAAACGATCATATTACGAAGGTTCTATGTTCATATGAGGTTTGTCCCCTGTCTAGATCATAGGTTCGAACATGAAATAGAGGGGCTTGAACCTGAATCAAAGTAGAACTTGACGGGTAAGGCAAAGAAACACCTTACGGAGGTCTTTCATTGGGAATTAAACAATTGGAAGAGAGGGTTTTCTGTCAATCTTAACCCAAACTGAAACAGGTTTTTGGTTTATACAAATATAAAATATGAAACTTTAATAGAGGAATTTGATTAGTGTATGGAGATTAATTTTAGATTTAGGCCGAGCATGTGGAACAGTGCTGTCATCTAACGGAGGCATAGTTCTTTATATCTTTCCGGTATTTTTCAAACTGGGATAAGGCACTCTGTTTCACGATAGGTATCCGAGTTCCCAGTGACACAGCGGTATGTCTGCGGATTTATACAGCTAGAAACTGGGTTTCTATACACGCGGTGGACAGAGTACGATTGTCCATTGTGCAGGTTTGTTCTTAACCACAAACAAACAGTTAGTCGATATTCTCAGATGTCTGTATAATGAATATTTTGTTTGTTTATGAATGCACGCTGTATAATTATTATTATGCTTTTTGTTTTTCATAAGCTTGATTGCTCATTGTTGATTTTATGATTCGTAATATTTAATAAACATAAATCGAGTTGAAAATTTTCTAACATTTATAGAGACATTTTGTGGAAGTCCTACAAACTTCAGCTGTTATAAACAATACCCTTCAATAATTGTTAATTCTGGTACAGACACTGGTTAATACTAGTATAAATACCATTAAACTAAGGTGAGAGTCTATATTGTTAACTCCAGTGTATATATCCTTAAAATCAAGTAAGAATTGACATTGTTAACACTAGTATAAATATCATTAAACTAAAGTGAGAGTCTATATTGTTAACTCCAGTGTAAATATCCTTAAAATCAAGTAAGAATTGACATTGTTAACACTAGTATAAATACCATTAAACTAAAGTGAGAGTCTATATTGTTAACTCCAGTGTAACTATCTTTAAAATCAAGTAAGAGTTGGTATTGTTAACACTAGTATAAATATCATTAAACTAAGGTGAGAGTGTATATTGTTAACTTCAGTGTATATATCCTTAAAATCAAGTAAGAATTGACATTGTTAACACTAGTATAAATATCATTAAACTAAGGTGAGAGTGTATATTGTTAACTCCAGTGTAACTATCCTTAAAATCAAGTAAGAATTGACATTGTTAACACTAGTATAAATACCATTAAACGAAGGTAAGAGTCTATATTGTTAACACTAGTATAAATACCATTAAACTAAGGCGAGAGTCTATATTGTTAACACTAGTATGAATACCATTAAACTAAGGCGAGAGTCTATATTGTTAACACTAGTATAAATACCATTAAACTAAGGTAAGAGTCTATATTGTGAACACTAGTATAAATACCATTAAACTAAGGTAAGAGTCTATATTGTTAACTCCAGTGTATATATCCTTAAAATCAAGTAAGAATTGACATTGTTAACACTAGTATAAATATCATTAAACGAAGGTAAGAGTCTATATTGTTAACTCTAGTATAAATACCCTTAAAATCAAATAACAGTTGGTATTGTTAACACTAGTATAAATACCATTAAACTAAAGTGAGAGTCTATATTGTTAACTCTAGTATAAATACCCTTAAAATCAAATAAGAGTTGGTATTGTTAACACTAGTATAAATACCATTAAACTAAAGTGAGAGTCTATATTGTTAACTCCAGTGTAACTATCCTTAAAATCAAGTAAGAGTTGGTATTGTTAACACTACTATAAATACTATTAAACTCAGGCGATATTTGGTATCATTAACTCTGGTATAAACAACCTCCAGCTCTAGTGTAAGTCAGTGTTATTACTCTTCAACTCAAATGAAAACAGTTTGAACTTTAGAGTTAGATTTGCAACGTTCATGCTCTTACATCGAACGTGCAGCAACGCTTACAATCTGAATTAACAAGGCTTCTATCCTCGACAGAACAAATAGACAATTATGTGTAAATATAACACTGAATAAGAAAGGTTTCCTGCACCGAGATAATCCCTACAGACAATCTCCCCAAAGGCATTAACTTGACTGTAGTGGTTTCACAAATCGCTCGAGGCCGGAGAAAATTAACGTTTTTCTTTATTGGAATTATTGAAGGCGTTTTTAAAGTTATTATATTGGATTATTAAACAAATATTTTATTGAAAAGAAATGTAGCTAACTTATAGTGTATTCTGTTAGCGTATTGATGTGTGTGTTGGGGGTATTGTTAATTTTTGAATCTTAAAGAAAATTGCATCTAACATTTTTCTGACACCAGTGATTTCTTACCTACGCATCCAAGATTTTGTTAGGGTGCTTCTGTAGCTAATTTAGAAATATTAGGACTGCAATGCCAATTTCAGGAGATAATTGATTTGAGTTAATAATTAACGATTATCTCTATACACTCAGCGCTCAAATGGTCCCTTTTTTTTACAAACTTTAATACAGAGGTGGATAAGAAACTGGTTTCTAACAGCTTTAAACGTCTTTCTTTTATCATTATTTGAACCGAAAAAACAAACGTTTCTTTTAAGAAATTGCGATTAAAGTTGGGTAGAAAGTTTAAACACAGAATCTTACTTATTTAGAATTTTCTCGCAATGCTATACAATGATTATCCGCGATAAATTTACTTAATTTTAAACTGAAAAATAGAGGGAAGGCAGCTAGTCAACAGCACCCACCGCTAACTCTTGAGCTTCTGACACAATAGTGGGATTTGATTGTCACTCTTATAACGCACCCACAGCCCCAGAGTGCAAATCCTATTTATACGACAACAAGACGCAAACCGAGAATTATTGGATTCACATTTCGGGCACGATAACAACCAAGCCACGCCCAACGTTAGATATATAAATGTTTAATTTTTATGACCAATAAAAGCACATCACCACTCCTCGTATTTCACGTCAGAATTCTACAGGCTTGT